CCCCCCCCCAGAAAACGCCTGCTCAAAAAAAAAAAAAAAAAAAATAAAATAAAATAATATATATATATATATATATAAAATATCTCTCACGCATGGCATGCATGAGGCATGCACCTCTCTCAACTCCTATCTCCATTTATCTCTCTCTCTCTCCCTCTCTTCCTATATAAACAGCAACACCACACCCAAAAAAAAAAAAAAACACGTCATTCCTTCTCCACACACACAACAACAACTCCCCTTTCTTCTCCCTCGCCGGAAAACGCCGACGTCGCCGGAAAAGCCGAAACCGAGCTAAATTCCGGCGGACCACCTGGACAAATTCCGGCGAACCTCCGACCCGACGAGAAAATCACGTCAAAACAACATCACGAGAAGTTAGATAAACTCAGGAAGACCTACTTATTCAAACCTAATTGAGCACAAACCTCATAGGCTCAGGTATATCTCTTAAATTGAAATAATAATCTCGAATTTCCCTCCCTTCCAGATCGAAGATCGAAAAGTAGATCACAAAATATTCAAGTATCCGTATGGATATGATCTACTCTTCGAGTTGAACAAAACGAGCCCAAAAACGCAAAATTTGGTTGAGAATCGGCGGAGAACGGACTCCGGAAAGTTTCGGCCGTTGGTTTTCCTCCATGCATGCATCGGGGTCAGGCTCCGTGGGCGTCGCGCGAGGGAGGGAGGAGATGAGAAAAATTTCTTTTTATTTTATTATTTTATTTTAAAATTTATAATTAAATTTCAAAATTTCATAATTTTTAATAGAAAATTCCAAAAAATAAAATAAAAGATGCTATGAACTCAGAAAAAGTATGATAATTTTTAAAAACTAAAATCATAATTTTTCATAAAATAAATATTTTTAAATTATTTTTTGAAATTATGGAGTATTTAAATCATAAAAATTAAAATATAAATAGGAAAAATATGAAATTTGACAGAAATATTAAATGGCCTTGGGAAAAGGTTCTCTGACTTTGCCAAGACATTTTATTTTCTCTATATTCGTATTTTGATTTTTGAATGAAACGACACATCTATGTAAATTAAAAATTATAAAAATTATAAAGATTGGAAAGCTCTCTCTGATTTAACGTTTAACCATTAACAGAGGTTTAAAAATTTTAAAATCATGTTTAAAATAATTTTTATAATTAAAACACGTTAATTAGAGTTCAGGTTTAATTTAGGCTAAGTTTACCTAACCCAAGCTCAACCTAAG